GGCTGCCCATATAAACAGGGCAGTTCTGCTGCTGGAGGCCAGGCAACAACATTGCCTGGCCAGAGGGCTGCTGGTATCATATGGAGGTAAGGGAGGAGCTGTAGGGGATGGTCAGGAGGCTACTGGTCCTGGGTACGACCTAAAACTGCACCCTGTCAGGAGTGGGTGGCCTGGTGGGGCTCTCAGTGGTGTGGAGCCCCCAGGAAATGCCAGGCCAGTTACCACCATGCTGAAAGGTGGGTTGGGGTGCCTTAACCCCTAGCCCCCACAACCGGGTGGGTTACCCCTTGTTTGGAGGGCCTGAAGGGTGGACCCCCAGAGAGAGAAAAAAGGCCATAGATTCAGGCCTGTCTGAACTTCCCCTGACTGGTCCACGCTGGGGCCAGGACCAGAAGGGTCAAAGGGCCAGGGTCCCACCGCGAGGAACGCCCAAGAGCTGCATGCCTGGGGTTCCAATTGGCCAGGCACGCAGTGGGCAAGGTCAATAGAGCCAGAGGTCCCGGGGGGACCCGAAGGGGAAGCAGTTCAGGGCTGCTTAGTATGAAGGCGGATGAGACCGCCTGAGGAGAGGAATCTAGGCAGGGTTCAAGTAGGAGGATTCTGGGGCCCAGAGTGGGGGCCGGTGATGATGATAATATCTAGATGCCATCTGTGAGGCTTGGGCTGTGGGGTAGGGGAGGAATGGAGCTGCAGACAGTGCCCCCTGGCATCGGGGCAGGAAATGGGCAGCCTCCCACTTAATTATATCATTTAACTAATTAATTCCAACAAGGCATGGCGGGTGAGACGTCGGGGGGGGGGCGGTTAGCCCAGAAACAGGTGGACAGGCTACAGTGAGATCGGCCCAGAGCAGGCCCCCTGTTACATGCAGGAAGGGTAGCTTGCTACCACATCTTCATCAACTCCTAGTATGCTGCTGGAAAGAAGGTCAAGTACCCCAGGACATGCGTGATGCTAACATCATCACACTCTACAAGAACAAGGGAGACAAGGGGGACTGCAACAAGTATAGGAGCATCTCTCTCTTCTCAGTGTCACAGGCAAGACTTTTGTCAGAGTCATTTTGAAATGTTGCAACAACTTGTTGACCACATATACCTGGAATCACAATGTGTATTCAGAGTAGGGAGATCAACAGTGGACATGATATTCTTTTTATGCCAACTGCAAGAAAAATGTGGAGAACAAACAAGCTACTGTACGTAGCATTTATCAACCCAATGAAAGCCTTTGACATTGTCAGCAGAGCAGGTTTGTTCAAGGTCCTGGTAAAGATTGGATCCCCCCCGCCAAAAAAAAAAATTACTCAATATGATATGGTCCTTCCATAAAAACATGCAGGTCAGAGTTCAGTTTGATGGATCAACCCTTAACAGGTTTGAGATGAAGAGTGGAGTGAAGTAGGGTTGTGTTCTGGTGCCCATACCAGATTTGGGATTTTCTTTTTTGTGCTGCTGCACTCTGCTTTGGTGGCTCAGAGGAAGGCATATGCCTTCACACAAGATCAGATGGCAAACTCTACAGTCTATCATGTTTAAAGTCCAAGACAAAAGGGAGGCACATACTTATTAGGGAGCTCCTTTTTGCTGATGATGCTGCACTCTCTGCCCATGAAGTAAGCCAACTACAAATACTCATGAATCACTTCTCCCACACTTGCAGGATGTTTGCCTTGACCATCAGGATCAAGAAGACTGTGGTCCTAGGACAGGGTGTTCACCAGTCACCATCTATCAGCCATGGCAACATACCACTCAAGGCAGTGAACAAGTTCTTCTACCATGGATCCACAGTGAATGACAGCCTCACTGGATGAAGAGCTAAAGGTGCGCATTGGAAATGCATTTACCACTTTCAGTATGCTCTTCAAACAAGTCTGGAACAATGCAAAACTGACAATCAAATCTAAGCTGCTTGTGTACAAAGCCTGCGTCCTCAGTGTCCTTATGTATAGCAGTGAGACATGGTCAACATATGGATATCAAGGAAAGAAGCTGAACAGCTTCCATCTATGCTATTTATGGTGCATCCTTGACATCAAGTAGCAAGACAGAACCACCAACACAGAGGTCATCACCAAAGCCAACCTGCCAACCATCACTGCACTACTCAAACAGCGGCATCTATGCTGGCTTAGCCATCTTTCTAGGATGGAAGATGGGTGCATCCTGAAGGACATCCTGTATGGGCAAATTGACGACGGGGAGAGAAGAGTAGGGTGTCTGAAACTGTGCTTCAAAGACATCTACAAGAAGGACAGGAAGGTTTTTGTAATCAACCCAAACCCTTGGGAGGCCTTAGCAGGAGACAAGACAAAGTGACATTCCCTTCTCAAATCATGGAGTCCAACATCATGATGAGAAATGGTCACTCAAATTACAACAGAAACATGACTGAAGGAAACAGACTGTCAGTACAGTAGCCCCTAATACCATGTTCACCTGTAACCACTGTGGCAGGACCTGCAAGTTTAATATCAGTCTTAATAGTCACAAGAGAAATGCACCACCACTCAGTATATATACAGAATATACTGCAGGATATATATATGCAGAATATATATGCAGAATATATATTCTGTATATATACACAGAATATATATGCAGAATAGCTGCAATATCCATCATCACTCGCTGATGAACCAATGCCATAACTATTTGTATTTATTTAAGAAGTCACAGTCTACCCCATTATGTGCTTTTGAAAGTTATTTCTATAGCTATTTAAAGATTCAGGTGATCAGAAAGAAGATAAAAAATTGTACTATGAGCACAGTGGCAGAAGTGCTCTAACGTTTGGGCTTTACTCTAAGCACCCCCATTTAGGTTGGGAGGAAGCAGAACAGACATTAGCCCTAATGGGAGGAAGGTGGGGGCTTGGAGCCTGCCTACACAGCCCAAGCACAGTGGGTAGTGGTGGGGAGCTCTTGCACACCTCCCAGCACACCCTGTGCCCAGGCTGCCAAAGACTCCCAAGTGGAGATGAGCAGTGGGATCCCCACAGAGGCATGTGGAGCCCCTGCTTTGAGTCACACCACAGAGCAGCTGGCTGGGCCACAGCGTGCCTTGAGATGGGGGAGCAGACTGCATGGAGACAGGCACACAGAGGCACATAGAGGCCCAAGGCTGCCTGCTCCCCCATCTCGGGCACACTGAGCCCCAGTCAGTTGTTTTGCAGCTGGCTGGGGTGGAGTGTGCCTCAGTGCAGGGTCTCCACATGCCTCAGCACAGTGGAGCCCCAATGCTGCCATGGAGCACCTGGCTGGGGTGCAGGGTGCCTCAGCTTGGGGGCTCCCAGCATGTGGAGGTGTGAGAGCAGGCAACTCTGGGCTGCCAGCTCCCCCGTCTCTGCATTTGCTATGGCGCTTGCCACTTTGGTGTGGGTTGTGCTGCTTTTTTTCCGGAATTTTTTTTTGCTACTGGGAAATCCCAGTAGCATATTTTGCCCCGGTGCTGCAAATTAGCAGCACCGTGCACTGATTAACGTGCAACTCGTGCAGCCTGCACATCTGGATCCAGCCCTTGTGTGTATTATCAAGGTTATATTGAATTAAAGTACCTACTACTTTCCTTTCCTCCCTAATTAGATGATCTACTTTCTGGATCATGACATTGTTCTGTAGGTTAAACCTCTTTGGTGATCCACGTTTGGATGTCTGCATATTTTAAGTCCCTCGAGTCTCAAACATGGGTCTAAAACATTTGTTCACTATTCATCAGTTCAGTTAGTTTGAAGTTTGCATCCACTGCAGTTTCTGCTTTGCTTTTTATTCCTTGAATCACATTCAGTCTATGCAACTCCTAATACCATCTTCCAACCCTATCTTCTAAATAGAAGGCATTCATCAATATTCATATAATTTCAGAGAATTATTCCCAAAACCTTGACTTGTGCCCATTCCTGGAGGGCATACATTATTTGCTTATTTTAATAATGCTTTTAGCTGATAGCTTTTAAGCACCTTATTATAAACAAAGCAATGATACTTGAGTTTTTTTTACTCTTTTTCTTCTTTTCTTCATTTTTTTTCCATTCATGATGAGACATGAGTAATAATTATGCCAGCCCTCGGGGGTGAGCGTATATTAACATTAAAGTGAATTATGACACGATCAGACTGCAAATGAAAACTAATAGCTGTTTTATAGAAATGGGCCAAATTCAACTCTGGTGTAAATGGTTTCCGCTTTACAGAAGTCAGTAGAGTTGCACCACTGTTCCATTTGAGCCTTCCTATCTAATGTAAACTTGAGAGTTAAGTATCATCATGCTTATGTTTTACATTGTTAAGATAATAAAGTTGAAACAACATAATAATTGTTTGGTTTACATTTTAGGTATGCCTCTAATATTCCATGAAAGAATGGGAAAGAAACCACAAAGATGACTGGAATACACAGACCTAAAACACATGTAGGTTTCCTGACTCAAAGTATGCAGGGGAAAAGAAAAAGAATTTGAAAACTTCAAGGGTCTAACCAAAGATCATGAAAGTGGATGGGAGTCTTTCCATTTTTCTTTCAATGAGATTTAGATCAGGCTCCTTTGGGGAGTTATAATTAAGTTTATTTCCATTGTAAATATACAATTTGATATGTCAACTTGCATGACTATCATGAGAAAAGGGGAGATTATACGTTAAGTCACAGACCAAGTGAATTTCATGTGAAAGAAAAATTATGCTGTTAGTATTACTAAAATCTAAAGGGAATTAGGTTTGACAATGAAAAAATTCACAACTCTTAGCTACAATTACTATGTTTATTTCTTTGTGTAGTAGCTGTCTGTTGCATACACTAATTGGGGTGTTTCCCTCTTAAAGTTTGACCCCTTTGCGGGCTTTCTGTATACCTTTCCCAGGATTTTCAATTATGGTGTTAACTAACAAAAAGAAGTGTTTTTTAACACTGGATTAACTCTTTGGGAAGACAAGCCACCATAATTTGACCTCATAACCAATCAAGGTAAAGCCCTGGATGTGTAACCATATCTAGGTTACTAGTAAAAACCACTTGTTCCATGTCTCCATTAGAGTTTTCCTTGAAATAGCTTTTTGATATAGGAACACAAAAACATGAAACAAAGCATGAGTGTACTGGAGCTTCCTTTTGAACAGGCATAAATTAGGAACAGTCTCTGCTCTGCTAAGTACTAGGCATAAATAAACCAAGTTACATTTGTTACATTAACTGTGACATACCATATCTATATTCTTATTTAAATTATAAGATGGAGTGCATTCTTGGTACCTTTCTTCACACCAGCCATTTTGGCATAAAGAAAAGTGCCTTGTGCTTACAGAATAATACAGACGATTGACAGGATTTAATGGCTTCCTTCTGGCTTTAACATCTATGACTCTGTGCATTTAGGCAACTATACTCACCAGAAAAAGGGACAGAGGCCCAGGTCCTTAGTGTTATTTAGGGACCCAATCAATGATTTCTACAGGGGTTAGACACATGGGCCACGTCCCCACAAGCGGGAATGTGTCATTTGTGGTGCCTCAAAGCCTTTTGAGATGCTGCGAAATGCATACGTCACTCATGATTCTGTTTGTCACGCTGCATATTTGTAGTGCGGCAGCAAGATTAGCTACTGGGAAATCCCAGCATCCAAAACACCCACAGCAGAAAAAAGCAGGGTGGTGCAATATGGCTGCAGTGTGTGCTGCATGCTGTGGCTGCTGGCCAGGCTCCATGTGCCTGGATTCATGTGTCCCAGGAGGCCCCCAGCATCCTAGGTAAAGCTGCTGGGACCAGCCCAGGTGCTGGCCCCAGCCTTCCCTACTCCACCCAGGGCATTTTGTTGTGTGCCAGAGTGTGCCTGCAGGAACAAGTAGCAGTGGCACACATATGTGCTGCTATTATTTGTCCCTGGAGAAGTGCACGTTCCTGCTTGTGGGGACCTGCCCATGGGCCCTAAGGCTCATCACTGCTTTTTGAGTATCCTATTATAATTGTTAATATAGGACAATATTGAAAGAGACACTGAGTGAAATCTTATCTCCGTGGAAGTCAATGGGGTTTTTGTCATTGACTTGTGACATCATGTTAGTGCCCAATGGGAAAGTTGCCCAAGTAAAATAAGGAGAGTGTATACACTGTATTCAGTACTAAGTATTTATGGCTGTCAAGCTGGTGTGTTACAACAGCCACTAGGGCTAGGGACAGACATTTAAAAAGCCTGAGCCTGAATTGATTCAGTCTTTGCAGGTTAGTCTAACCTGGCTAGACTAAATCAGTTTTGTAACTGGACAGACATCCCAGAAATGCAGGCACATGCCTGCAGTGGCTCAGGCTAGAAGCTGGGGGGCACTAGAGCAGCCCTCCCTTCCTTTCCACAGCGTTGAGCTGCGGGGGGTGTTTCTAGGCCCTGGCAGGATACTCTGTTTATTCCCCCCCTCCTAAGCAGCCCGGCAGGAAATGTCTATCACCCCTAACTCAGTGTTTATCAACCCATTTAGAAAACAAAGCCTCTCTCCGTTAACTAATGGAACTCTTCTTAAACAGCTCTTCCAATAATAATAATATCTTCCAAGGAAGGATATTAAGCTACCTGTTGATTAACTCCAAAAAGCTTGTCTTGCTGTCATCTCCCACAGCATGGACCTTAGCTAGCATGTGGTCTGCTAGTTAATGCTGAGGTGTCTGTGTAAAGCAGAGGGGAAAGGGGAATAATCCCTTTTTAGCAGGGGGAAGCCAGGCAGCCGCTCTGTGCCTGCAAGTCTCTGCCAGAGCTCTGGCCAGGGAGCAGAGGGGAGGGGCCAGCCCTGCTGTGAAGCAGAGAGCTCTGCCCAGCCCAGAGAGCATGCTGGGATGCTGGGGGTGTCTGGTTTACCTTAAACCAGCAAGGGGTCTGGGACAGACATTGCATAAACTGGTTTGACCCAAATCAGTTAAGTCTGATACTACATGCAACCAGGTTTATTTCAAACCAGTTTCATCCGTTTTCAAACTGGTTTAATGTGCACTGAACATCTGTTCTGTTACAGGTTTAAACCAGTTTCTGATCGTTTTAACCAGTTTATATGTAATGTCTGTCCCTAGCCTAGAAGAAAAGCAATATGGTCAAGACAGAAATCATATCCCCATTTACTGATATGTATTACTGAAAATAGCTTAGATTATTTAAATCTCAGTCAGGTGCAGAGGTTTTATCATCTCTTTTCCTGGAGGAACAGGGACATTATGCAAAAGTGGTTCATCTTCACTTGTTTTCATTTCACAAATGCCCTTGAGACATCTGCTATCATACCCACTTATCACTTCCTGTAGCTGAAAACATATCTGCACTTTTCACAAAACCACAACTACATTTTCTCCAACTTAACCACAGCAATCTTAGCAACAAGACCACCAGATTCTGAATAGCTAAAGCGGGATGGTTTATACACACCCCAACCATGATGACAGTTAGGGCAGTACATATTTTTAATTACAGGAAATGGGAGGAAGAAGGGTCCTCCTGAGGGTTTTATTGTAATTTAAGTAGCCTGCCAACATGGAAGGAGCTGGAAGTGATGGTGGAGGTTGCAAGGAGTTTCAGTTCAATTGCAAACCCATATATCTGAGCCCTAGAACACAGCATGGGAGAAGGGCAGTCAGTAGTAATGGCAGAAGCAGAAGACAGCTCTTATCAGTCTCTTTTTTTTTTCTCATTGTTATCAGATTGTGACTGCATGGTAGTAGCTTATTTGGCAAATGACTTGTTGCTTTAGTCTAGCTTAACTTTCAAATGTGCCTCCCCTGTGATGGTAAACCTCAGATTGGATAAACACAGCTATGCATGCCATGAGAAGGCTCTTTCAGATTGGAAACTCTTGTGTCTTTAGTGTCTTTAGACAAATCATGCGTCTCCTGAGCATATTTCTTTTAAAACTTTGAAATTCCCTTTTCCCCTATGAGGAGACATGTATGCATTTTTTTGCTGGTATTACAGTGCCACACAGGACCTCCATCATCTCACACATTGTGAATGTTTGATTGATGTCTACTTTACTGACACATTTGACTTCCTTCTTGCTCTCAAACAACTTTGCAGTCAACCTCCATGCTGGCACCGCTAACTGAGCTATGTATAGCTCTCAGTATTGTGTGTTGTTATGCCTCCTACAGAACTTTGTTACATTTAGTGGAGTCACTTGGGATATAGATCAGCAGAAGATCCAGTAAAAAAAAAAATGACATTATCTTATGCCACTTTCACTGGAATGAAAATCTGTCTCGTTAATAGGATTTAGATTTTCACTAGCCAAATGGCTACTCCAGCCCTTTAAAAATCATTTCCTGTTTTAATCCATAGTACCACTGATTGTCTCTCTCTGCTGCTCTCGGAGGACTGCATGGGCCAGTGCAGAGTGAATAAAATGGGTGCTAGTTTGAATTGCCTGTGCTAGAAAATATGTAATAACACTGTCATTCTTAAAAGAGTTCTGCTCCAGCATGTTTAGACAGAAGACAAAGTATAGCACATGCATGCATTTGTCATCTTGCCCTGATCTCAAACAACATTGGCTCTGTTGTCAACTGTGAGAAAAGGAGGAAAAAAAAGCCTTGGAGGAGAGCCACACACTTATTTTTTCTCAGGTCTCCAACAAGCGTGTTGACTGTGTATGATCCCTGCTTTAAGAAAACAGACGGGAGCATCAGTGGAGCTCAGCAAATGATTTCCCTAACACTCATTAAACTTGCAATGCTCAACTAGGCAAGAGGAAAGCTACCTGCGATCACACTGAGCCTGTGATCATGACAAAGTCCTACTACTACTCATCTCCGAGGATTTGGTTCTTCTTGCCAGCCCTTTCAAGTAGGGAGCATCTATAGCCATCGTATTTGGTACCACATTGGGCTTGCCCTCCCACAAGTAGGATGTGGCAGGAAACAGGCTCTTGTCATTCCCTGTCCCCAAGGAGGCTTCTCTCACACAGTGTAAACTGGAAAGCTGCCCTTCCTCCCAAGCCAGCACCCATCTCAGTGGGAGGCTAAGCCCCTTTTCGTCTCTCCCTCCACACCCAACCCCTGCGGCATTTGCAAGCAGGGCAGAGCTGATTAAACCTAATCAGGAGTTTGCGAATCTGATTAAACCTAATAAGGAGTTTGCGAATCTTTTCCTGGCTATTTTGGGTTTCTATGCCCTCATCACACTGCTGACCACATCTTCTGTATGTTTTCTCTCCTGTGGAGTGGGTTAAATTGAGTACAGATGAAGCATGGGGTATAAAAACAGGGCCCAGAAGATGGCACTGTATGGAAAACTAGTGCCGCATAACAGCTCTGAGACCATTTCCCTTTCCCGTTGGGAAACAGTCTTACTTTTGACTATTCCTGTGATTGCCCTTTGAGGACTGTACAAGTGCCAGGTGACTGACTGCAGTGATTCTTTGCTTTGCACGGTGCCTCACCTCTCTCTCCCTCTCCTTCTCTGTTAATTATTTTTAGCTGGTCGTGGCAGCAGGTGTGAATAAGCAGCTCCTGCTATCAAACCTTCTCTGACCTCAGGAGACATTTCTCTCTAGTCCACCTCCTTGGTAGATAGTGCCTGAGTCTGCAATGCAGAGGTAGACTCTGGCTTTGCTACAGCTTGCTGTTATAATACATACAAGGATGGTGGGAAAGCAGGAGGAAGGGCTTGGAAGACCAGGTAGTCTTTCCACCACCCTCCCAGCGCCCTTCTAACTTCTACTTTACAAAGGTTTAGTATCAAGCCTCGTCTTCCCTACAGTCCACTCTGATTTATTCCCTTAAGAGAAATGCACACCAAAAAGGACAAGCGGCTCATAAGAGATGTGGTGTTTTCTTATATCACTGGCTGTTTATAATGTAGAGTTACATAGCTGGGTGTGTTTATTGACATCTCTCTACTTCTACACTGAAACAAAATGAAAAAAGCCTTCAAAAGTGTTATTATTCTTCTATTTCAGGCTAACCAATACATTTCCCCCTTGCCTTTTTTTTTCTCATGGATACCATAATAAAAATATTTGCTGAAATGCAACAAAAAGCAACCCCAAAACCCAGTTATGCTTTTCTCTCATCCTCTCTGCTTCTCTAATTTTGAGAGACAAACCTGGGTACTTAAATATAGTGTTTCAGTGATTCTGCTCTTCTTCTTCCCTTCTTATCAAGAGCTCTGTTTGTCTAAGGGTCTGAAGGACCATCAGCTAATAGCTAATCAGTTCAATTCTGGGTCATCAGTCTGAATCTCACCCAGATGTGTTGCAGCAAGGAATTAGATGGCTGTTTCAGTATTCCTTATTTGAAAAATTGATGGTCAAAGCTAAGGACAGGGGCATTTACAGATACTCATGAGGCTAACACCCAAAACACACTAGAACACTCAGAAGTCAAAATACTTTAAAAAGGGAAATGTGGTATCTTAATGCCCCACAGCAAACATGCACTAAGAGACAAGACAAGCTAGGAAGAAGTCTGCAATGGACACAGGTATCTATCCATATCAAATCCTAAGTGCATCTGATCTACTCTGTGAGAAGCAACTTTCCAAATGGTTTATGCCACTAACAATATAGTGCATTTTACCAACCCCCTTGCTGTTTAAACCAACGTAGCTGCAATTTAGAGAATGAAAATTGCTTAATGCTGATGTGGTTGATAGGACTAGAAGGCATCTAGCAGTTAAGTTGCATTCTTATTTTCTTTAAGAGGTGAAAAACATCCATCTCAGATGCAATTTTGATTAATCATTTAATGACCTAGCACATTATTTCCCCCCCCAAAATTGGTACTCTGTTACAGCTAACAGTCAAAGGAGGAAAAAAATAGCTCTCCCCCACTTTCTGCATGCATAAAAAAAAGTCTGAAAGGATTTTTTCCCCCACATCAGCAATTCAGCCCCTATCTAAAATGGAAGGCTACTGATAATCACAAATGCTCCATTTCTGAAGATCAGACCATGCAGGGGCTGATCTGTGCAAGGGACCCTTATGTTCACTGCAGTTGCAGTCTACGTAGAGCCCAATGGATGTGCAACCCAAGGGACAAGCTCTTTTCATGCCACTTAATGAGATGCAAAAGAAATCCTTGGGGAATGCAACTGCCAGAAGCCAGGTATAAAGACTGTGCAGTTACAGCCTAAACTTTTAGGTTTAGAAAGGCTGGATGGGATAAACATGCGGCCAAATGGCTTCTTAGTGGCAGAACCTGCCTTTAAAATGTTGGGATTTTTTACATGCAAACAATACAAAGCTACCCATCTCCTCTCGGTCCTTACTTAGCCTAAGCCCCAAGGAAAATAGAAATGCTAAGCTTTCTTCCTTTTATGCTTTAGGGTTATCCTCATTAACACTGCAATTAACCTGAGGGGAGTCCAGTCCTACTCTGCGGAAAGGCAAACACCTGTGGGAAGTTCTCTGTGAAGAGGGAACATGGCTCAACCCTTTCTGTGCTGGCTCAGGGACTGCAACCCTGTCAAATTCAACTGCAGTTTGATTCAAACCCTTCTCCCTTGTACACGGTGTTTTTTTTCTCCTTTTTAATTCTCCTCAAACACCTGCCTGGGCTTCCCAGGCACAGCAGCTTTATATATACATAGCATCACTCCTGATTAATACATATATAAGGGAGAGGAAATTCAGGCTCTTTGGGTTTTGTCCCCTTGCTTTTTAACCCTGGAGCTTCTGGTTCTGTTGCCTGTCAGGAGTGCCCATAAGGGACACTGGTGCACTTTCCAAAAAAACCCAACAACCCACGTGACCTTGGGATTATACAAGAATCAAACTTTCTTTTGTCTCCTCATCCAGGTGTCTGCATGTCTGCAGCAGGGAATCTGGCCAGCTCTCAGCAGCCGCCTTTCCTCTAAGAATTGCAGACTGAAGCAAATTCCCAGCTTATTAAAAAATAGTTTTGTTATTTTGCCATCTTGTTTATTCTGCAGCTCCATGGTGCTCTTCAACCTGCTTCCTTTCTCCTAATTTTGCCTCTGGCTTTTTTAAAAGTTGAAAAAAAAAATGAAGTTTTTTCTTTTTCTCAAATTTTTGAGCGTCATAGAGTGCTCCACTGCCCTTCTCTAATGATGGAGAGGAGCCCCAGTGTCCTTGAGAAACAAAGCTAGCATTGGCAATGTGTAGGAGGTGCACACGGATGTCCACGACCTCCCTGAGCTTGGTGGTGCACCCCTTACAAAAAGGTGTGGCTAACACTGCTGGCGGTGCCTGCGGGTGGTTGCCGCTCGCCACTCGCCCCCCTCGCCACCGATGGTGTCTGCGGGCAGTCCCCGATCGCTGCTGGCCACCGCTGACACTGCTGGTGGCATCCTCGGGTGGTTGCCGACCACCAGTTGGTGCTCACTACCCCCCTCTGCCACTGACAGCACCGTGGCCGCCTGCAGGAGCTGCCACCTGCAGGAGCTCACTGCTTGCTACCGCCACGCTCCTGCCACCCACAGTGCCACCGATGCCTGCAGGAGCTCGCCGTGCCCCCCCAGCCTCTGGGGGCATGCAGCATTCATGAAGGCTAGGCCTGACTGAAGGAGGGAAGGCCTGGTGCTCTATTGGATTTATTCACTAAGTGCACCTGTACACGAGCTTGGAGGCTGCTTTGACACACTGTAATTACAGCGCTGCAGAGCAGACTGTGTTAATTGAGTCTGCTGGAGTGCGGTAATTACTGTGCTCCAGCCAGCCTCCATATCTCATGTATCAGCATCCCTGTGCTTCAAAAGGGTGGCGGCGCAAGCTTTAGTTCAAGTGCCCTCACCGCCATTTTGAAGCACGGGGATGCTGATACACAAGATGCTGCAGTGATTTAACTAGAGCAGCTCTTGGAGCTGCCCTAATGAAAGCACTGTCCTTCCCCGCCCCACCACCTCCGGAGCACATGTAAAAGTGCCCTAAGCTGCACAGGGACACTTAAATGAGTTGATTTAAATGAACCGAACATGAACAATTTAAAGTAGATTAGTTATAGTGCATTAAGCCGGTGTGAGGAATCATTTTGTTTAGAATTAAAGTGGTCTTAATTCAAATTAACTTCTAGTCATTTCCTGGCTATCCCCATATAGATTAGTCCTTAGTCCTGCAATCCTCCAGTTGGTGTCTTTGCCTTGTATTAAAACTGCAGGCAGTTTTCCTTGCTTTTCAAGTTGAAAACCAGTTGACCTGAGATCCAGAAACATGCTACTTGGCACTAAAGCAAAATGCAGAGTAGAACGAACTAGCCAGGCGGAGAGGCCTACTGATCCTCCAAACTGACTGTCTTCATTTTTTGTTTAAATTATGCAATATCCTTTTTAAGTCTGAGCATGGGATGCAGAAGAGTTCGTACCCTTCGAATGCTGAATAAGAAGGATACATTTAAAATATATATATTTTTAAGTGTACTTGGGAAGGATTCCTTGAATAAATGAAAGGCCAATGTGAAATGTGATCATTAATCATAAAAATGGCACAGAGCCTCCCCTCTTCAGCAAATATAACTGTTGCGTAGTTATTTGCAGTTTCATTTAACTGAGTTTTGCAACTTCATTTCACAACTTTGCTTTCTCTTACTTGTCGATTTTCAAGAATCCAATTGCCTACCCCTTTTCAAATTCTAGTTAGGCTTCTGAATGTAGATCTTTGTATTCCCCTAATTCTAGCTTTTCATAACCATTCCCCATACCACGTATCTTTACTGCCCCAAGCTAGGAGATTTGAACAGCACATCCAGTGATATTGTTTGAATAAGAGAGTTACACCTCCCAATCATAACACATTCTTATCCTTTTACATAATGCACTGAGCCAACAGCCTGATTCAATCATTGACAGTCTTTGGCATCTCTTCCTTTCACAATCAGCTATGGTTTTTAATTCTGTATCCATTAAGGCCTTTGCATTTTTCCTACTATAGCTTAACATAGCCACAAAGATTCTTGTCAGTCAACTGGTTGACAACACTGTTTTGGTAAACTTTTCAACCGACCTGAAATGCTAGAACTTGAACAGGAGGGAAGCACGTCATTCTGTCCTAATGGTCCAAATGAATTAAGCATACAGCTGGAAATCCAAATGTGTATGAAGGAAGGAAAAGTCCAAAAGGTTTCTACCAAGAAGTATGATGTCATCTTGATCATAGCCTATTTCTGGAACTAAGCTGTGAAGCCCATGATACATTTTGACACATAAATGTTGCCAAGTAAAACTGATAATATAGAATTGTTAATATGGTTACAGCTGAATGTTTTTCAGATAAGGAGTTAAACTCTTATAGGCAATATAGTATTTGCGGAACGTAGCACCTAGTTGTTTCTATGCTTTCATTGGCTCTGGAACTATTTCCTATCATATTTAAATAGAGAGACTAGATTATTGGGTACCTTAAGAACAATGGGTTGCTTAATGGTCTTACGGCGCTTATCTTATGTCAATACAAAAGATTTGCGTTCCTAAGGCTATGTCAAGGGCAGTGAAACAAGGGCTACATTCAGTGAAATGGGCATTTGTTTATTCTTAAATGCCCATTTAAGTATCTTTTTTTGGGTCTTGAACATGCCTACACAATGCAGTTAAACACAGATAATTTTTCAAAAAATGGTGCCCACAGGGGAAGTTGAACCTGAGAGAAAATAATAAAGGTTATTATGCCTAATTTATTCTAGATAAGAGCAAGGGTAAAACTGCTTCCTCATCTCTTTGTCATGGCAAAAATTCTCCGACAATAACCTTCCCTTTTGTACAGCATCCTTCACATGAGCTCTATTCCTGAAAGCTTTACTGGGCTCCATAACACAATTACTCTTAATTACAGGGTTATTAAGAGTAAGTAATACCAAAGAAAAAGACATGCTGAGAGGGGCGCAGGTAAGGAAGAAAAGGAACGTGTTTGACAGTGATTAGAAATGCAACGGAGAAAGGCTGGAGCCAAAAGACATGAGAAGGCTGCTATGGATAGCAGCTGTATGGGAATCGTCTCTCAAACCAGGAGTGCCCAGACTGCGGGGAGACACAGTGGAGAGCCAAAGGAGAAAAGGCCAAGATTTTAAAAGAATTCAGATATTGCTCTCTCTGTGTTACAACACTCAAGGGCCGGATTCTTACTGATGTGTAACTGCCATATGATGCAGGTAGGCGTCTTCTAGGATTTTCAAGAGTTTAAGCCCCTATCATCTATTGAGTTTGGCACTCTCATACATCTGAATATCCCACCTTTAAAGTCTGGGCCTAAGATGAAAAGTCAGCCCTTGAGTCCATACCCAAGTGGCTTGTTCTCCTCGCCTGCGCCAGCCAAGCCCTTTCCTTTTTTAAATTTATTTATTTAGTAGGTAAGTATTAAGTAGACGCAGCTCCATTGACCTCACTGGAGTTGTAGCTGTTTTCAGGTAGGGCTGAATTTGTCCCATCATATTAAAAAAAAAAAAAAAGTATGGCTAGGTGTATCCTCTTAATATTGATGTGCAGCTGCTGATATGTTATCACCTGAAAGCCCCCTGCTCTCCAGTCCAATGCACATCAGTGGACCAACGGGCCCCACTGACCAAACTGGGGTTTGGTAAGGAGGCGTAAGCATCTTTCACATGTATCTGACTGCAGCATTCATTTGCAGTGCTCAGGGGTAGATAGATAAGCATAGGCTGATTCTCCCTTGTGTAACAAGTCACTGCAATCTGAGTCACCAGAAGGCAATTTGCATCTGGGGTCAGCCGGTTTGCATGGAACTGAGGGCAGGGGCTGGGCAAAGGAACCAATTGCATGTTGGTTGTTCTTCATTAGCCAGGCTCCAGGCAAAGTTTAGGGTCCCCTGAGGACAAGCATGTTGTCCTGCATTCCTTGATGTACAGTACTACACCCACTTGCCACCCTGGCTCCTAACCTGGCACTCAGTCACACTGAGGTTCCTTACCAGAAGCAGAAGGCGCCCCATCACTCCTGTCCCGTGTACTGACATATCCTTTGCCTTTTCTCTCTAGCAGGGATTCCCAAACAAAGGGTCACAGGCTCAATGTAAGCATGACAGTGGGATGCCAGAAAAAAAACAAATGATTCTTCCTTATCCAAGATACAGTATTAATTCCAGCTGAATGGCTAGAGGATCCATCAGCGCTGCCAGGTCATCTCAGTCCTGCCCTAAGCTTTATCTTATATAGAGCTGCTGTTTTTAAATCACTTTAAAAATGACCTGGCTTTAACTACAGGGCAGCTTCCCCTGCTTGAGCTTAGATCTGTAAGCAATCAGTCACTGGGTTTACAAGGTACAATTACATCCACTTGCTTTAGCAAGCATATTGCCTGCTGGCGTCTTGCCCAATTCGAGAGGCAAGCCACTCCAGACCAACCCATTCCCGAGATGCTGAGTCTATTTGTTATGCACAACATTATCTCAGGGATTACAGAATGGCAACTGGGCTGTTTGTATTCATTAGTGGAAGGAGGAAGCCCATCTAGTGGTATGAGTCTTGTCCCGTGTGTGAGCAAACAGTCAGAATTGACACATGTGAGTTTATATTCTGAAAATCTATTTGGCTTGGGGGCATTCACTCCCTTTGGTGTTTGTTCACTCAAGTGTGCACAGAAAGGCTGTTTTTCCACAACTGCCATGCGAGAAGGCTATTTGCATGTAAATAAAAATAGCTGGTATGCATTGTTCAGATGTCTAATGTTTATGAAGGCCCAGTGGGACAGCAGAATGAGTATCATGATGATTTTTGGTCCCTGTCACTGGGATATCTGAAGATAACTGGCTCCTAGAGGTTGCTCTTTGTGATACACCATTATTATTAGCTCTTTTGTATGGATGGGGAAGTGGGACAAAGAAACGTGCAATTACCTGCCCAAGATCACATGGGAAGCCTGTAGCACAGACAGGAATCCCACTCATGTCACCTGAATCACAGTAGTAAAAGTTAGAACC